AATAATAATAATAATAATAATGATAATAACAATAACAATAACAATAACAATGACAATAACAATAACAATAACAATAACAATAACAATAACAATAATAACAATAACAATAATAATAACAATAATAATAATAATAACAATAATAACAACAATAATAACAACAACAACAACAACAACAACAACAACAACAACAACAACAACAACAATAATAATAATAATAATAATAACAACAACAACAACAACAATAATAAGAACAATAATAATAAGAATAATAATAATAATAACAACAACAACAACAATAACAATAATATTAATAATAATAATAATACTAACAACAATATTATTATTATTATTATTATTATTATTAATAATAACAATAATAATAATATTAATAACAACTATAATAACAATAATAATAATAATATTAATAATAACAACTATAATAACAATTGTAATAATAATAATAATAATATTAATAATAATAATAATTATAATAATAATATTAATAATATTAATAATAATAATAAGAATAATAATTCATAAAACAAATGAGAATATCTTAATGGATAATCATAAACATTTTTCAACTATTTGAGAAAATAAAAAAGTATTGGGAGTGGAAGATAAATGGATACCTCTTTCAAACACAATATGTTTATTACAACTCATGATTTGCTGAGGATTTGGAGATATATAGGTTATTTATTGCAGGGCAAACTTCGGTGATCTCTGCAATGAGCTAGCTGGCTCGATTATTATCCAACTATAATGAGATTGATGACTTGATGACTATTTTACTGTAACAAGGTGGGTGACTCGATGAATATACTACGTCAAAGAGGTGGATGGATCGATAATTTTCGATTCTCATCTTGCGTTAAGAAAAAATTCACATTGTGCTGCATCTTTTCTAATGTCGTCTGCACATGTGGTTTGATTTGAGAATTCATCATCTTAGGTTCTCTTACAAAGAATGAAGTAAACTTGTTAGAAAAAATAGTAATTTAAATAGAGAAGCAATATGTTTTACCGTATTCAACAAATGTTTTTTTGGATAAATGTTTTGACGTCAGCCTCCATCAATTTTGATGCAGTAGATGATGACTTGATATGACGTGGATGAAAATGCTTTATCGATAGAAAGATGATGAACCATTGGTAGGATGATGATCATCCATTGATAGGATAATGCTGCTAAATAATAGAATGATGATGCCCCATTTGTAAGACAAATTTGATGCTCTATTCATAGGACGATTATTCTTCGTTGATGATCCATTGATAGGATCATGTTGATTTTGCATTGATAGGACAACGATTCTTCGTTGATTGATGATCCATTGGTAGGATTATGTTGATCCATTGGAAGGATGATGTTGATGCTCCATTCATAGAATGTTATTGATTCATTGATAGGATGATGCTGATGTTTATCCATTGGGGTGTTAGTGCTCCAACGATAGGATGATGATGTTTCTTTGATGATCCATTGGTAGGATAATATTGATCGATTGATAGGATGATGATGATTTCGATCCATCCATTGATAGGATGTTTTTGATCTATTGATAGGATGATGATGATATGGATCCATTGGCAGGATGATGTTGATGTCCATTGATAGAATGACGATGATCTCATTTCATAATACTACAAATATGTCCCTTTGGATAGTGGTATTATCTCATATTATAATATGTGGATATGTACCTCTAGGGGTTTCACATTACAACATCTGATATCGACATGATTTATGAATATTCTTCAAATGTTCTTGATGCTGAAAAAATATAATTTGATGTGATTGTATATGCTTGAGCATGTTGAGAGTGATTCTTTCACTTGTTCATATTTGAACATTTATACTCATTGTGACTCATACATTGCTGGAAATTTGAATGCAGTATTATTGCTCTTATACTGAACAATTTTTTTTAAAAAAAAACTTCAATGACTTTCCTACATCGATAGAAAAATTTCCAATCTAAGGGACATCCTCGTCCTTTTGACTTCTCCAACTACATTGAACAAAGGAATAGGATGATCATTAGAAAACTTATGGACCTGCATCCACTAAAAAATTGTTAGTTTTTAAAACAAACTAATGTATGTTGAGTTTTTCAATCACTTGCTCATCGTCTTGCTATCTTTATTTGATCGCTCTGATTTCTCGCTTCTTGATAGAAAATATTTGAAACATATAGAAAATTTTTATTTTTACAAAAAAGGTTCTCAAAAAGGATAGATGCCAAGTATCATGCCACATCAAGCTTTAGCGAATGTAATTGAAGTTGATGTCTCGAAGTCTATCTGATTATTTGATGGGAATTATTCAAAGTTGCTCTAAACTGCCGATAAATTTTGTTGAAATTTTTTGAGGCAATCCTCAAAATTTATGTCCCGGTTAACTGTCTTAACGTAACTTTAACTGTTAATAAGCAAATCATTGAATTTTTTAGATCATCTACAAAATTATGTCCTAGTTGCAAATCTCAAAGTAACTTCAGTCTCGATTTTTTTGGAGAGATTTTCCTCTTTCCTCTCAAAATTTCTCTCCCAATTTCTATTCTAAAGAGAAATAGAAGTCTTATGGGAGATATGACAAAACCATTCTGGCGCCTATGAATCCCGTTGAGGCAGGAATCAGGTCAAGCGTAGTTCCCCTCTCGAGGTTAACAACAAAAAGAAATATACAAAGAAACCAACTAAGGCCGACATAAAACACCTACATATCTCATTCTTAAGAATTCAGGTTGAACATAGTTCAAGTACTAATAAATATTAGAAGGGATTAAAGGGGTGACCGAGGCCGATATAGGCTGCTTACATATCTCGTTCTTGAGAATTCACATGAGATATAGTTCATTAGAAGAAATAATTTTCTAACTACAGAACATAAGCTGATGAGTTCTCTTTTATGAGCTTACATTTGATTCTGGTTTCTTTGACTCAATCATTCTTTCCAAAATCTTTAGTTTTTTCCTCATTTGAATTTGATTTATCCAGAGTCTCAAACTGTTTCAAATATTTTGAGAAGGTGTTTGAATATCATGATCTTCCTCGTCATACTCTTCAATATGATGTTCATCTATCTCATTTTGTTAATTCTATTTGTGACATGATATTGACATGTTTAAAATATATTTTTTTAGTGAAAGAAAAATAATGATTGTTAGATAACATAATTAAAGAAAGTAAATTAATTTTTCACAATAGGAGAGACTTTCATTGAAAGTAAGGAAATACAAACATTGGCCATGACCATGGGCTATTTTTCCTTTTTTGAAAACATTACGAGGGAAATGAAAACATAATTAGGTAAACTGACACAAAAAGTGGGTCCCTAGCCTCATTCAAACTACCACCAATTTTGAAAACAACATAAAATTCATCTTTTGTCTATCAAATTGAGCGAGATATAAAGAGCATAGTGGAAGTTCAATTAAGAATATGCTCCATTGGCTCGACATCTTGTATGTCTGGTGTTTCAATCATCTTATTGGGTGCATCTTCATCTTCTTTTAAAAGATTCCCAATTCCTTCTCCAAGACCTTCATCATTTCCATAATCCTCTACCACAAGGGACTGACATAAATGAGGCAAAGAGTTTGGTGGAGCATGATTAATCCCCTTCTTGTTCTGATCGTATCTTAACACAAAAGCAAAAGTTCGATGGAATTTCAAGCTCGAAAAATTGAGTTTCTCACTTATGCTCGGAGAAGCTACCGTTTTCTCAAGGTTGTCAGGACCATTTGGAACTATAGCCTTTACCATGCACCACTCATTCTCCAAATTTATCATATTGATATTGGTGCCTCTATAGTTCAATCGAGGATTACTATAGATGTTGGGTGCAATGGTCCTGACCACATTCTGAGCCATCATGTCCTGGATATTGTGCTTCAAGTTAATACAATCTTCAGTATCACGTCCAAAACAATTGGAATGATATGCGCACCCTTGATCCATTCTATAAAACCTTGATCTAATGTCAACCGGTTTGGGTCAACGTGGATGCATAAGGCCTGCCATTGTCAATTGCTCAAACAACTGCATTCGACATTCAATGAGAGGAGTAAATTTTTCAGAAGGTTTCTTCTTAAGACATGGAAGAGGATTGTAATTGTCTTGTTGAGGGAAAGGCATTTAACGATAATTTGGGGCATTTTGACGTGGAGGTTCTTGATACTTTGGGACAATCATGTTAATAGTGAATCCTCTACGATTCATCAGGGAATTACCATTGGCATTACAATTTTTATTTTGAAGAGTGACAATTCTTTGATCAATTAAGTCTTGAATTCTATGCTTCAATTTTATGCAATCCTATGTGGTATGTCCAACACCCCCTGAATGGTAAGCACAATGAAGATTGGGCCTACAAAGTCTGTAATTGACATTTATATTTTTTTGATCAATTGTTTGTATTAGACAAGCCCTTTTTCAATCTCTCAAAGAGTTGGGTTTGACTTTAAACCAAAGGAGTAAAGACTCGAGAAGGTTTCTTCAAAAATACCTGACAAGAAATATTGTAATTATTTTGTATAAAAACGGAGGTTCTTGGCGCTAACTGGGAGGATTTCGGCGAGTAGGTGCTGGTGTTTGGAAATTTTTGTACTGTGGGGCTTGATAGCTTTGAGGTTCATTTGATTAATTTGGCAATGGAGCCTGGTGACTTGATTGACCGTTTGGGTGATTTGGCAATGGCGCTTCGTAATTTGGTGGGATGGGGCAAAAAATTTGTGGAGCTAAATGGTAGATTTCGGATGGTAAAGGCTTTCGAACATTAAGATCGGCATGGCTCTTTAATTTGTGGCTTGATTCAAATGAGATAGAGGAAACATCATCCCTGTTCCTCCTCAATGGTACCGAGGATTCATCTTGGGGAGCCATTCAAATGATTTTCCCGGTCTTGAGACCGTCTTCAATAGCTTCACCAGTTTTGACTATCTCACAGAACTTGCCTCCTAAAATGAGCATCATCCTACTGTAATACTCCGCATCTTCAGTGCGCACAAAGACTTAAATAATCTCTTTCTTGGTCATAGGAGGACTAACCCTTGCAACCTCTCTTCTCTAATGGTAGGCATACTCTCGATAGCTTTCATAGAATTCTGTTTGATTCTCTCCAAAGAGTATTGATCTGGGATGAACTCTACAATGTGACAAAGTCTTTCGATCATGTCTTTATCCAAAGTATTCCAACTTGCCCACTGCTTGATTTCTTTTTAAATAAACCATTTCAAAGCTTCCCCTTTAAGAGTTCGACTAAAGAGTCACATTAACAAAGCTTCATCTTTCCCTACTCCAATAAGTTGATCACAATAATCCCTCAAATGAGTCAAAGGATTTTCGACTCCACTAAAAGTGTCAAATTATGATACTTTAAATTTTTTAGAAGTTCCAAGTGTGGATAGAGACACAAATCTTCGTAAATCAACCCCATAATGTTTGGGGTGTATTGAAAGTCCTTTATTGCATTTATAATTTCCTCTCTGATGCTTTGCTTAGCCTTTCTTTTCATGACCTTCCACTCCTACTTATTCTAATAAAAGTTGAATTCAAAATGTGTAGCAGATGAAAGGTATTGATTCTAATGATATTGGAAGGTGAAATGCAGGTTTTAGAGGTATGGGTTGAGTGGTAGGTGGGTTTTAGACAATTCGAGTAGGGGTTTGATGGACATGAAGAAAATTCTAGAGAATGTTGGTATTTTGATTAGGGGCGGTTAAGTCAATGATGAGAGGTTTTGAAATGGTATCGGTGGTTGAATTATTTGGAAAATGTTTGGATTTTGGATCTGAAGTAGGAATTGGGTTGATGGCCTTTCGTTTTCTTGAGCAGGAGTATTTGGCAATGATAGCCAAATTCGTCAATCTCGAGTCTTATCCATTTTATCCCTCATTTTAGCAATCTGTTTGAATAATTGTGCAATCAACTTGTTCTGTTTAGCAACGATAGGGTCATTTACAGTGATTTTAGTCAAATCAATATTCTCGACATTTTAAACCATTTTCTCTTTCCTTTTGACAAATATTTTTCAGATAAGGAATCTTTGGGGTCTTTGAACCTTCTAAAGTATGGATGTTCATCCATTTTTTCAACATAAATCAGTTTTGAGTACTTGACAGAGAATAACAATTCAAAGTCAAATGTGTTAGTCTAGGTTGATGATAAATAATACAAAATATCACACACGTTACTATAAACACGTAACAATTGCTTCATCTGAATATAAACTAGCCCACATATATAGAGAAATGACTAAATAGACATGAATTTATCTCTTTGAATTTTAGCCTAGTGAACGGAAATGTAGACTTGAGTCGAGACAAGTCGATTGTATCTTTCATTATCGTATTTCTTTTTTTTTGAATGAGATGTAACTCTAATTTCTTTGTAAGAGTTGGAAAACATAAAATATCTCAATAAATGGGGATCGAACCTTAAAGGCTGCCTACGTATCTCACAAAAAAGAATTCAGGTCCTACGTAGTTCTACCCATCGAACTCTTTCGATTTGAGTATTTGGACGTACTTTTGACAGTGACTTAACATTTGTGCTTAGCGGTTCTAAAAAATAATTTGAAGAATAGTGAACTAGAATATTTCCAAATAAAGCAACATATTCACACAAGCAGTTATAACACATAAATAGACTAGTAGCTTGCGAAACTCTTTTTTCTACTAAAGTAGGCTAATCTACTTCTTACCCTAAAGACAATGATTTTTCAAATGACATATACCTAAATATGAACGTGCATTTAGGTCGTGGGTTGTTCTAGACTTAAGGTAGTCTCTCTAATGGGGTCTACATGACTTGGGTGTTGGGTAATCTTAGGCTATTGCTTAGATTTGGATTAGGTTTTGCTGTACTCTAGGTTAACTAGAATTGGCTTAGAAATGAAGGATACTCGAGTCGGACAAACAACGGGGTGAAGACTAATAAAAAACATTGAATGAACATAAGCCAACTATTCGTTTATCACTCCCAAAGAATTTAATTTGTTTTTTTTGTGAAGGACAGTCGTGGTAAGCCACATAACCGTCTTTTTTCCTAATGCAATCTATTTGCCGTTTAGCAGTGTTGATGCCATTAAATGCCACAATTTATGATATACAAGAATTGAAACAATTAAACAATTTAAAAAATATTCAAATAAGTTAATTTTAAGGGTTAGAACCTATTAAATTCCTCATAAAAGTCGTCATTCTGTTCTATTATAAAAACTAATATTTTAGACTAGTTTAAGAATCACCACTTAATTTATAAGAAAAATCAAGAAAACTATTTTCCAATAGACTAAACCAAAAATCTAATAAAAATTTAAAAAGGGGTTTGCTGTTCATATTAGCATTTTGGGAAGGATTTTAAAGCACCCGAAATGTTCGCTAACATGCTGTTATCCAATAATTAACTATTAGGCTAATTTATATAAAAGTTAAGCATGCTTGACTAAGTGAAAGTAAAAATATTAATTTATTTAATTTCAAAATGGTTATATATTGGGGAGTTGATTAGGAAAACCTTAAAATCAAATAAATATACTAGCATCCAAAATTAGATAAATAATAAAAGAGAGAAGACGTGGCCCAAATCCGATTTATTTCCTCCTAGGCTAGTACTTGGGCTTAATCCTATTTTTGGGCCCTTGGCCCAAAAACTTGGCACATGTCCTATAAATCACATTTTTATTGTACCTTAACCCCAATTCATCCCGTCCTAGAATCTAACAAGATAATATTAAATAAAATTACAAGGGCTTAGGCCCAGTAACAAAATAAAAGTTTTAAAATAAAGGTGGACTTCTTGGACCGACTTCTTCAACTCTCCGATGTATGATACTTTATAGTGTATACTTAATGTATATACTCTCCCGAGATGTGTATGCTGACTTCATGAAATTTACTTCACTTTCGTGGGCATGCTCACTCGGAATATGGATTAGAGACTTTATGACTCTTTTGAAACACAAGAGGAATGATAAGAGTTCATAGTGAACTCAAGCGGATTTCACATGAAAAGATCACAAAAGAAAAACTCATCAACATCTACTTTTACAATAGTCGTAAATCTCAAATTGAACCAAATTAAACAGGGAAATTGCAATGGGTAATAATCACGAATCGCACAAATTGAATATTGACAAATCTATTAGGCTACCTAAAGAATTTCGCTAACAGAAGCATGCATGGTATTCACATACAATTATAGTATTAAACTAATGGACTTACAAAATAAGCGAGGTAGTGACCCAAATGAGAACCATTCAGACCATCTTAATTAATTTTAAAACCTGACATTACACACTACCATGATAATACTGACAAAGCCCGTATTAGGACGGATAAATCATGATAGAAAAAATATTCAACACTCAATCAATTTATCAGTCACATAGTGCGAACAGTGGTGAAAGCTATTTTGATATTATTGAACATGCTAGTTAAAAAGAGCTTTCTTATTTAAATTAGCAGCCAAATAAGACAAGAAACAGATGATATTTTTAAAACCTCATTTCAAAAATCGAAGCAGCCCAACATATAACGAAAAAAGACACGTTTCAAAGACAAACTAACAGTAAACAAAGAAGCCAAATCCAAACATGATTATGGTGGACCACCAATATAACTGCTAGATGAAATACAAAAGACAAAGAAGACATTTTAATTGCAAGATCAATGATAGATTCTACCAAATCAGGCAAGCATATGGAAGTTCAGAACGATAGAGAAGATAGCCAAGATCATAAAAGAATTGTGGAGAAGTAGAACCATACCGCTAATGCACTGAAAATAGTGAACATAAAATATTTTGAAAAAAAACGAAATTGTGAAGGAGCTGGATTACAAAGCTAGAATTCTCAAACCAAATATCAAATAAATGTCGAACTATTCAAGGCGAAAAAATGATGAAAGGATTTAACTAGTTGTATGGTACTATGTAAAACCAACAAACCCAAAAGATTGACACCTTAATCACCCAAAGAGACTTCATCAAAGAGTCCCTATGATTATTTCCCATAAATCGGAAGAAATCTATACATTGAAGAATAAATAATGAGACGAGGATATTACCTTTTCTGGTGCATTGAAGGGGACAACAACGAGTGAGAAACTGAGTTCCACCGCCGAATTTAAACTTCCACAAAATTGAAAGAGCAAAAAAGAGAGTAATGGAGTGAAATCAAGTTTAAAATCGACCCTAATCTTTGTTGTCGAGTATAATTCTTTCCAAATTTTGTATCTAGTTCTCACTTCTATTCTTTCACAAACTAAATTCTTTGTATAACTTTTTGCTAAAAACTGCCAACCAACCCCCTTAACAATGAAGAAGAAAAGGAGTTTACATAGGAGGAATTGAGGTTTGATTTCGGGGGGAGGGGGAAAAGGAGGGCAAAATAGGGTTAGATTTAGGAACATATTTCGGATTTCAAACATTATCCAAAAAGCTGAAGGAATATGTTGCATTGATACCCAAATTTCAGCAAATTCAAACGGGAGGGAGGTGAGGGGGACGCTCCGGATGGAGTAGATTGTCCTTGGGTTGTACATATCTCAATCTCTCAGCCACAAGGGCTACAATTGAATCCTCCTCTGCATGCGCATACTGTTTTACGAGTCACTAAGGAAGACGACGCGGATAAAGCTGTTGCTTTTCAGTGAATTCCGCTGTTTGATATTGCTGTGTTTCGAGGCTTGAAGACGTTGTTTGGAAGCTGGTGTTAACATTAGAGAGGAGAAATGAATATGGAGTTGGGCCGGGTCTATTAAATTGGACTGGGTCGGCTGGAATGTTGTATTCTAAAGGGAAATGAGTTGGGTCTTGAGGATAAAGGGAGTGGGCTGCTTAAAGCTACGAATAGAGCCCAAATTCTTGGTCTTAAAATGTGTTAGACAAGAAGATTAGATTTAGCTAAAATTGCTATACAAATTAATTAGCAATTTAGCCGAATGGATTAAAGAGATAACCGAGAAGAATTAATTTTAGAAGATTCGACTAGAATTCAAATGGGATGAATTAATATAATTGATTTATGAGCTTCTTAATCGTAACGAGAAGAAATAATTAAATGAATTAGAAACTAATTAATTCAAAAATTATAATTTTAATATAAACTAAACTAAATTAATTAATTAACTAACTTTTAGAAGGTTTTTTCAAATATTTTATAAGGTATTAAATACAAAAGAAAAACAAAAAAAATTTATTATCTTATTATTATAAACATGACTAAATCACTTTAAAATCTTAAAAATATATTTATTTTATAAACTAATTATTTCGAATCGTTTGGAAATTTAAGAGGCTCAAAAATCAATTAATATTGAGGAGGCCAAAATTGGGTGTCAACATTTAGGATGTCTTTTGATGAGACATAGTTCTTCTTATGTTTTTTTTAAAAAGAGTTTTCGTATTGACTTTTCAATGAGAAGTTTTAATTCTGCACTACTTTTCATACCTATGTGATAAATAAATGCTAAGAGGCTTGTAAAGACCTCTTCGAGGTCGAATATGCCTGTTACGACTAGGTGGTGATCTCGGGTCCTGAAAAAACTTGGTATCAGAGCATAAGGTTATAAAATGGTCCTTAGGGTTCAAGTTCTCACAAGACACGTCTAGTAGATTCTTGTTAATAGGTGTGAGTCGCGACACATCTATGAGCGAGAGGCTATAGGACAATAGAAGTTTCACTTTCCTCATTATTCTTGCATTGTTCCATTGAGATTAACTCCGTATGATCTCTCTCTCTCTCTCTTACATCCCTTGTACGGTGGTCTTCTAGATGTTATTACTTGGAATGGGTGATGTTGCAAGGTTTGAGGGAAAAGGAGGTAAATTTTGATGTTTTTTATGGTTTTGTGTCTAAGAGGAGTAAATGAAGGTGGACTTGGAAGATTTTGTTGTAATGCCAACAATAACTATGTTTAACCTATGGAATTTGAAGCATTTTATTGGGAAGTTTTATTATTATGTAGTCCTAGTGTGGTAAGAGTTATTATGGTTGAATGAAATCCTTTTTTTGGGATGAGGAGTTACCTTATAGTTATGTGCAACGATAGCAGAAAGTTATGGTGTAAACTTGAGGAGTTTTGGATGAATGTAGTAAATAGTGAGAGTTGAAAGGTTCTCTTTTGTGTGAGTAATGCTTCATACTTGTCCTTGTTTTGGATTAAAGTTCTTGTGTCGGCTTACTCCTAGCAAGGTAGTTGTGAGGTTATGCTAGCAAATGTTAGAACCCATATAGCTGGATTATTAGTTCCCAAATGAACCTTCCCTTAGGGTGGAAAGGTAAAGAGGGAGTTTTATTCCATGGGTTAGAGTTATGTTGTGCCTTAGAGTTGAGTTTTTCTAAGCTTAAATCCCAAGAGGAGGATGTTATGCTTTGCCAGTGAGGGCTAGTGAGGTTGGTTGGTAGTCTTGATGTTCATGGTTTGGTTTGTATGAGTTCCCACCTTACGAGAGGTATAGTGGGTTAAGAAGTATGAGACCTCGAAGATGATTTGTAAGGGTCCTATCAAGATTTTATGAGAATTGGCTAAGAAGTTATCTGGAATAAAGGCCTCGCTGAGTTATAGTTCCTTATAGTTGTCTTAAATTGCTCTTAGAAGGGTTTACCCCAAGTGGGGGAGAATGAATTGAGTAGTAAGGTGGTTTATATCCTTATATTTTCCTTTTATTCTTATTCAATCATGAGACCAAGAAATTCTCAGTAGTGATGCCTTATTTTGGAGTCTTGCATAAAATAAAGAGTTGCATGTCTTGCTTATGTTATAAGTACCTTTGATGATAATATGTTTTGCATGATCTTGATGATGTTATAATAACATTAGTAATTGATCAGTGTACAAGTTAATTTTCATATAGTAAAATTGCTTATTTGACTCATGAGTTGTTATGTTGATTTTGCCTATTTGTGATTTGAAAATTATTGCATTGGGACTTATAATGAAATCATGAGCATGTCTAAAGTTGGAGAAGATAGTTCCTCTATAAGACATTGAAAATGATTAAGTATGTGTGCACTATGATTTGTAGAGATAGTTCCTGATTTCTTTTGTTGCTTAAAGTGAATAATAATGTGAAGTTAGTGTTCCTTGTAAGTTTGGTGCATTGACTTTAAACCATATTAGTGATGATGTGTGTTGTGAGCTGCTAGTTAATTCATGTAGGCCTTGAAAGTGTTTGTGTCATTTGAGGACGAATGATCGCAAGTGGGGGAGATTGTTACAACCCTCAAAATGAACTAGAA